CAATCGTTATTTTCTGTCTTCTTAATTCTTGTTCTTCTATTGTTCTCTCTCCTTAATATTAATTTTTCTCATTTTCTCTAAGGTTCAGTAATCACTTGCATCTTAGTGGATTTATTGCCTTTGATCTTCAAAAAAACTAAATGCAGTATCAATCGTTATCTACTGTCTTCCTGATACATCTTCTACTGTTCTCGCTACTTAATAATGTTTCTGTTTTCTAATTCTTTCACACTCAGTAACACCTTGTGTCTTAGGGGCTTTATTGCCTTGTTTGGGGTGATATTCTGAACTCGCTTAACATTTTCAACGATGCAAATCTTTCTCATGATCCAATTAAACCGTGGCCATCATTTTAATGCTATAAGCTCCTGTCAATGGTTGGTGTTTAAATATTCGATCACCATTAGTCCTCCACCAACCAGATATACGTACCTTGTGTTTATAATCGATTTACTACGAGTAATAACGAGGTGAATGTGATCCGTATTTAGAAATGCCATTGATATTTAAGCCCCATGTCTTGATACGGGAGCAATAAACGTTTTGAGTTGTTTTGCGTGTCCTATACTTTCCATCACGGTTCTCCATGAATTTGGCCTTGAGCCACACGTGGTTTTGTCAAACGAACACCTATATCTATTTTCAATAAAGCTCTACGTCATATGAAATCAATTTTGCTTATAATATGTAGATCAGTAAGAATCAATGACTATACCCTGAAAAGTAAATATCAGCTGAATTTTGAACTGAAATTTCATACGATAATATATATATATATATATATATATATATATATATATATATATATATATATTATTTTAGACATGATTTTTTAGTGGGTACTCATATTTGAGTTTCAGGGAAATATTAAAGAAAAAAAAGTGCTCCATGTATATTTTTCTGTAAAATTTTGATGAATCTCAATTCCTTAGTTAACAATTGAATAAGCTGATGGCGAGTTCTACGACAATAAAATATCCGTAGAAATTCCCTTATCGCATCGTTAAATATTTGAGCTTAACAACCTTAACAAAACTAGAAAGACTCGTAATAATTTCACTGTTTTCCTATTTCAAATTTCTGATGAATCTTAATTCTTTAGTTAATGATTGAATAAGCTGATGGCGAGTTCTACGACAATGAAATATCCGTAGAAATTCCCTTATTGCATCGTTAAATATTTGAGCTTAACAACCTTAACAAAACTAGAAAGACCCGTAATAATTTCACGCTTTTCCTATTTCAAATTTCTGATGAATCTCAATTCCTTAGTTAACAATTGAATAAGCTGATGGCGAGTTCTACGACAATAAAATATCCGTAGAAATTCCCCTTATCGCATCGTTAAATATTTGAGCTTAACAACTTAACAAAACTAGAAAGACTCGTAATAATTTCACTGTTTTCCTATTTCAAATTTCTGATGAATCTTAATTCTTTAGTTAATGATTGAATAAGCTGATGGCGAGTTCTACGACAATAAAATATCCGTAGAAATTCCCTTATTGCATCGTTAAATATTTGAGCTGAACAACCTTAACAAAACTAGAAAGACCCGTAATAATTTCACGGTTTTCCTATTTCAAATTTCTGCCGAATCTTAATTCTTCAGTTAATGATTGAATAAGCTGATGGCAAGTTCTACAAAAATAAAATATCCGTAGAAATTCCCCTATCGCATCGTTAAATATTTGAGCTTAACCACCTTAATAAAATATTGCAATAACAATTATAAATTTGAATGATGCACGTTATTTTAAGAAGTAAGGGGGTACAAATTAAATCCTATTCCTTATATGAAGTGTGTGATAGTAGCCTGCTACAATATGCGTAGCGTGCAAGGTCTTTCGGCGTGAAAGTAAGAACTTATAGAACTAAGGAATGTCGTTCTTCTGAAAACTTTCCATGGAAATAGCGTCAGAGTCGCGAGTGGCTTGTGATGCTTCGTGTTATATCAAACCTTTTAGAAAAATTGGACCGCATCAAGTATAGTACATCATAAGGTTGACCACACCATGAAAAGAATTATGGTCCTTTTTTTTTTCTTTTTAATGATATAGCAGCCAGCAAATTAGACATTTAAGAAATGGTGATTTTATTTTCTTTGGACAAAAAATTTCCTTGTTTAATTAAAATAATATTTTCACATATGACAGCGTAATTAACACACATTGTTGGGTGTGATTTGTTTTTAATTTATTCATTTGAGCAGACAAAAATATTTGTAAAAGATGAACAATTCTAATTGACGTTTAATGTTTCTGAAGCAAACGATGTCTACACTTATGATCTTCCTTAGTAAAAATCTCCAACTTTTTTCCATTTCACCGGAAAAAAAAATTAAACACTTCTTTCTTTCTTTCTTTCTTTTTTTCAAACCAAGTATCGTTTCTGATATGTCTTTTCCTTTTTTTCCGCGCGAACAAAACGGAATACTATTTACATTGTTCGGACTATTGTCCTCATCTTTGTCGCCATATTTATTACAGCGTTTCGGCCG